ATGAATCAATCAATGATATCAATTACAACATGAAACTTATTTCGGACCACTGTCTACACAACTATGAATCAATCAATGATATCAATTACAACATGAAACTTATTTCGGACCACTGTCTACTCAATTATGAAACAATCAGTGATATCAATTACAACATGAAACTTATTTCGGACCACTGTCTACTCAACTATGAAACAATCAATGATATCAATTACAACATGAAACTTATTTCAGACCACTGTGTACACAACTATGAAACAATCAGTGATATCAATTACAACACAAAACTTATTTCAAACCACTGTGTACACAATTATGAAACAATCAGTGATATCAATTACAACACAAAACTTATTTTGGACCACTGTGTACACAACTATGAAACAATCAATGATATCAATTACAATATGAAACTTATTTTGGACCACTGTGTACACAACTATGAAACAATCAGTGATATCAATTACAACATGAAACTTATTTTGGACCACTGTGTACACCACTATGAAACAATCAGTGATATCAATTACAATCTGTAGTTATTTTGAATTGCTGGAATATACTCCCATGAAATAATCAATATCAATTAAAAAATGGTTGGTTGTTTGTTTGGCATTTTTTGGTGCAAAGCAACATGGCTACCTGCACCAAACAACTGGTAAAAATCTTAAAAAGTAAAATTTAATAAAATGTAAAAATGAATGGAGTTAAAAGTAAACAATGTGCAAAAAATCTGATAAAAGACTCAAATACAATTAAAAAGGCTAAGGGCTCGTAAAATAATAATAATAAAAAAGGTGAACAGTGTAACCAGTGTGAATGACACCGTCCAATGTCAAGGCTAAACTCTTACAATGGCCAAAGGTAAGAATGGCAGACTGTCTATTCTGAAAGAGCACAGCCCACCGAAAAAGAAAGATACAACCCCAGGTAGGATGCTGTGGTAGCATACTTCAGGATCAAGCTTGGTAGCATACAACAGAGAAAGTTGCAAATGGCACAGGTGAAGAGGGGGTTCGTGAGACTCAGTGTACAAACTCTGGACTGGAGAAGTGTGGAGAGCCCCCATGCAGAGCTGAAGCCCCAGATGATGAATGGCATCCAACATCTTCAAGGCTAAGGTTCTAGCAGAACAATAGACCTATAGTCCAGTTTGGATCGAATGAGGGCACAATAGATCTTAAGCACAGAACAATGATCCGTTTCCCAAGAGGTGGAAGAGAGGACAGGGAGGATGTTCAGTGCCCTTGTACACTTGGCATGTAGCTGCTTTATGTGAGGAATGAAGTTAAGCTCCAAGAACTTTGCTTCAGGGACCAAGGGAAAAACAACATCAAGAAGACAGAGCTCAGGATTAGGGTGTAGACCCTGTTGGTGACAAAAGTGTGGTGCAAATTTGCTTAGAAAAAGAATAGGTAAAACTGTTTGCTGTGGTCCACTTCAACAAGCAATTTAAGGCAGTCTGAAGCTGCCGCTCACTAAACCTCATGTTTGATGACCAACATGAGATGTGGAAGTCATCGACATAGAGTCTGTTTGCAACAGTAGGAGGAAGTTGTTTAGTGATAGCACTGATCTTCATACTGAAAAGTGACACTCAAGACACACCCCTGAGGGACTCCATGCTCCTATTTGAAAGAAAGGGAAAGTGTCGAACCCACATGGACTTGGAGTCACTTCTTGAGTAAAAAGTTTTGAATAAAAATGGGTAGATGGCCATGCAACCCATATGAGTGTAGGTCATGCAAAATGCCTTACTTCCACTTAGTGTTGTAATCTTTCTCAAGTTCAAAGAAAACAGAAACAAGATATTCCTTCTTGAGAAAAACTTCCCTGATCCAGGTCTCAAGTCGAATCAGGTGGTCCATGGTAGAGCTCTGTCAACAGAACCCACATTGAGTGGGCGAGAGGAGGTTGTTTGATTCGAGAAATAAAAAAAGACGAGCATTAACCATCCTCTCTAAGACATTACAGAAACAGCTAGTCAAAGCAATTGGATCATAATTAAAAAGAATCTTAGGATCATTACCAGGCTTAGAGAAAGGTAGGACAATAGCCTGGTGCCAAGCATCAGGAAACACGTCTCCTGCCAGATCTGGTTAAAGACAACCAGAAGAAGAGCAAGAGAGAGATGGCACAGCATGTCATAGTGAATGTCATTGGGTCCTACTGATAAAGAGGAAGCTAGTTTAAAGAAAAAATTATAATTGTAGAGACAATCAGCTCGAAAGGGAAAAGGTGATTGCTCTGCCCGAGACTTGATGGCCAAGAAGGCGAGGGAAGAAACAGAAGTGCTGGATCATGAGAAAACCTCTTGCTGAAAGTATCAGCGATGCTCTGTACATCAGCAACTTCCTGGCCATTTGAGAGCAAGATGGAAAGGGGATGGGAAGCATACCTCCCATTGACCCTCCGAATCTTGTCCTATATGATTTTGGAACTGGTGGAAGAAGAGATGCTAGTTGTAAATTTAATCCAAGATTCATTTTGCCTTTGACGTCTGACCTGCTGAGCATGGGCACAGGTCTGCTGGAAAGCAATACAATTGGAAAGAGTAAGATACCTGCAAAACGTATCCCAGGCCCATAGGAAACATGTCGAGGTTTTAGGTATAGAACAAACAGCTGCTTGAATGATGCAGTCAGTTATTGCCTCCACGCAGTCGTTAATAGATGGAAGATTAACAATAGCAGGATTAAGTTCTGAGAGAGATGTGAAAGACAGCCAGTCAGCCTGGTCCAGCTTTCACTGTGGCACTCAGGTTGAGTGGTATCGATTATGGCCAATCTCCCTCAAAACAATAGGAAAACAATCACTGCCCCGTGGGTCACTGTCAACCCTAGAAAAAAAAAACGAGAAAAAAGTGAAGGGGAACAGATAGATAGATCAATAGCAGTAAAAGACTGATTAGTTGCATGAAAATAGGCAAAGAAACCAGTATTGAAGGGAGAAAGGTTGTGATCTAAGACCATACATTCTACGGAACAACACCTCCCATCAATATCAGCACCACCACAGATGGGATTGTGACCATTAAAGTCTCCTAGGATTTCAAAGGGAGACAGCAACTATTCTATGAGAGCATCAAGGTCTGATTGATTGTCTCTCCAGGAGACAGATAGAGAGAACAAAGAGTGATGGCTACGGCCTCCAAGGGTGTATCAAGTGGCACAGGCAAGGTGAGCATGTGCTGGTCGACCAGCAGTGCCACCCCTCCATGCACTCGTTCATCACACAATCTGTTATTGTGGTATAAAGAAAACTGCCAAAAAGTTTCAGGAATGTTTCCTGTAAGGAAAGACACATGGGATAATAGGAATCGATCAAGATCTTAATGTCATCCAGATTAGAATGAAAACCTTGACAGTTCCACTGTAGTAAAGTGGCCATTTTTACTTAGGTGGAGGAGAACCGTTCTGTTTACAATCATGCCATTTTTATTTGCTAGAAGGAGGTCTCACGACCTCCATGGATCCTGCCCTTGATTGAGTGGGCAGATCTCTGTCATTAGCCTTAGATTCCAGCAACTAAGGGCATGAACGAATAATTGTCCTGCATATCAAGGCCGAAGAAGATGGACCCGAGCAGACACTGGAAGGCAGGGCCACAGGAGGAGAACCCGGGCAGTCATTGGAAGGAATGGTGGGGACAGAGATAAGATTCATCAACACATTTATCCATAGAGGGCAAATGACGAAAAGCTCCGTCTGCACACACACTGTAGCAGTGTATGTCCCTGATGGAGCTAGGGACAACAACTTTCGAGCCTCCAGATAAGAAATGTTGCTAACTGTTTTTAAATGCTGTACATCTTTCTACTCCACCCACTTAGGGTGAGATATATAGTAAGAGGGGTGGGAACTACTACAATTAACATAGTGGGGTCCAGTTTGCACAATGAGCACACATCACAGAACCAAGACAAGATGCTTTTGATTGAACAATTAGAACATGAAGGTTATTTCACACTACTGTAGTACACCACTAATTGAAGTTACTCTTAATTGATAAGAATCTCCCAAACCTTGCCATATGTAGTAAGTAACCTTGAGGAAATATTCTTACTAAGCCAAATTTTGTAACAAAAAAAAATTAAGAATAAGTGAAAATTTAAGAAAAAATATGTATTAATTGAATATCAGTAGTGTTGAAGGGTTGATAAGAAGCAATTTTTGAAAATTAGATCTTTGTTATCCAAAATGGCATAACACTCAGTTACAATTTGTCTCTCAATTTATGCAGGGAAATATAAGCTTGGTTTTCTGGCTAGAAAATTCCATTACATTAAGATTTGTTAGTAATATAGTACTTGTACTGCAGTAACAACAGAAAGTTCATTATAAGATGTTTAATGAAGGGTGAAAATCTCCAAAGTCTTTACATGCCTGACTAAAAACCAACAATACCCTGTCTGATGACGAAGAACCCAATCTTTAGGAAGTAAACTTTATTACAAATGTACAATGTTTCGGCAAGCTTATGAGTACCCGATGATGAAATAAGCTTGTCAAAATGTTGTACAGTTGTAATAAATTTTCTTTTTCTACCCATTCAAGCCATCAGTTCTCAGATGCTGGCTGCTATTCTAATTGGTAAAACAAATATTAATAGATAAATAAAATTCCTTTAGCACTATGCTTCTTATTAAAATAGGGTGTTTTGAATGATGTAAAACAAATAATTACCTAAAAACACTTCAACTACTTTTCCAAATATTTTCTAGCAGAACTAAAAACTGGAAACAATAATTTTTAGTTTTGTTTACATATGGTTTCAAATAGAATCAATGATTATTTAGTTCTGGTTTTCTTTGGATAAAGTTATGCAGATAATCCACTAGTACCGAAAGACGGGTTATCTGCCACTTCGAGCGAAGCTTTGTATAAGAAAAGTTTCAAGAAAATAACCGTTCAAATAGCTAAGAAATCACTTACTTTAGTTTTTAGGGAACTAAGAAATGTTTACACATGTTTACAATTGAGTATGGTGAGAAATTTAGTAACTTCTGAAAAACAGATAATTAAATTTAGTTTTGAGCCTTCACAATTTGCAAATAAATATCATAATACTTGCAGAATATCTTTTACCATCACAAATGTCTTGAAGAACTTTATAACCTTCAAAAAATATATTCTTCATCAAATGTGTCTTGAAAAAAAAAGTCTATAACCTTTACAGAATTTCTTCTCCATCATAAGTTTCTTTCGGATTTTATTTGTAAGTATACTTGAGCTGTATTTAGTGATACACATGACTAAAGATTTTTCTGAATATTACCAGCATTACCAAAACAGTTTCAATTTAAACAAACAATTACCTCAAAGATACGATCAAATTCTGGTTTCATGTCCGACAAGTGGCGAAGAATAGGAAACAGTGTTAATGCTGCTGAGAACTCATGCCTGGCCACACATTTCTTTACTCTAGATGCTAGGTTCTGAGATAAAAGCAACTTTTTAATACTCTCATCAAAATAGTTCACTAAATGCTTATAAGAAGAAGACAAAATTTACAGAAGAGTAGTACAAACAACAATTTATTTGAAATGTTTGATCAGAGAATGCAACATGCTGTTAAGTTTCAACAAAGAAAAATGTTTGTCATTTAGTTTAAGTCTTTGAGAAGATAAAACAAGCTACTAGTTGTTACACTTTCTAAAGAACTTACTGGAAATATTGAATGAAAGACTGACACCTCACATACCTCTCCTTCACTGATCACAGAAGTCAAAGCATGACCTACGACTCTTTCAAACACTGGTTTGTGTTGTTCCCTGGTGATGATTCCCTGCATCAGCTGAAGTTCACTCTAACAGGAAAATGAAAACTCTGAAACTCTAAATTACAAAATATGTAACAACTTACCAATTAAATCTAACACATTTTTTGAATAAACTTTCAAAATGTAAAATTGTTAAGAAAAAATATTGCAAATTATTAAATTTAGTGTTAAAACAGTGGAAGTCACGCGATGCTGTGAACATATGCGATGGAGTTTCTAGAAGGATCATGAATTATAGAGGAACCCCGCGAATGTTCGAGTGTTTGCCAGGCACCCTCTTTTTTAGTATATAAGCCAAGCAAATAAAGCCAGCAATAGATAGATATGCAGATATATTGAAGAAATAGATAACTGAGTCAAGCGAACAGTAGGCACCGTAAGTAAAGTGTGTGAATCACTGTGATTTATAGCATGTGTTATAAAGATTGTTAAGTTTAAAGCGACTGTGGAAATTCTGTGTACTAAAAAGTTGTATCAAGAAAGAATAAACTGGTTTTAATTAAGAACGGACTTGTATCTCTGAAGTTCCTCGGAAAGAATTTATAATGGAAATTAAGAAACGACCAGATATATAACATATTGGCATCAGAAGTGGGATTGAAAAGAAAAAAAAGAAAGAAAAAAGATGAAAATGAGAAGTGGCAAATCAAACTACAACTTAGCAGATTTGATGGCAGCAATACAAGAACAGCAAAAGAAACAAGAATAATGAGAAAATAAACAAGAAGACAGATTACAGCAGTTGTTGGAGGAAAGAGAAAAGAAACAAGAAGAGAGACTACAGCAGTGGCAAGAAAACCAGCACCAGTGGCAACTGGAACAAGAAAGGAAACAAGAAGTACAAATGAAAAAAATATTAGTAAATTTGAAAGTGAATTGAATACATTAAAGAATGAGTTACTATCTTTTACACAAGGAGGGTATATTAGCCATGGACCTAATCAGCCCCAAACAACAGGAAGCCCCTTCCAGACCCTGCAGTTAAACCCTAATGCAGACATATTCAGTTCTG